TGGGAGGGGATATTCCGGGGCAACCCTTTAGCAATGTTCCTTATAAACTGGCAAGAGGTCCCTGCGGCTTCAAAGGTGGTGATTGTTACCCACCACTGTTTCTAGGGAACTTTGGTCTACAACGCTTTGAGGACTTAGCCCTTTAACTTCTCGAAGGTCACCTTTTGTGGCCAAGCCAATGTGTGTGTGTACTGTGTAATCCTAAGTGGAGTGTCCTGTTGTGGAATACATCCATTCCAAATCTGAAGCACCTCTCGAAAGGCGTTAAAAGTCTTTGTACTGGCCGGCACCGCGGCTCACTAGGATAATCCTCTGCCTGTGGCACCGGCACACCGGGTTCTAGTCCCGATCGGGGCGCTGGATTCTGTCCCGGTTGCCCCTCTTCCAGGCCAGCTCTCTGCTGTGGCCAGGGAGTGCAGTGGAGGATGGCCCAAGTGCTTGGGCCCTGCACCCCATGGGAGACCAGGAGAAGCACCTGGCTCCTGCCATCGGATCAGCGCAGTGCGCTGGCCGCGGCGGCCATTGGAGGGTGAACCAATGGCAAAAAGGAAGACCTTTCTCTCTGTCTCTCTCTCTCACTATCCACTCTGCCTGTCAAAAAAAAAAAAAAAAAGTCTTTGTACTTCTCTCTCCCAGACCCAAGTCACTCCTATTCTGCCCCGAACTAACTTCACACTAATCTTCTTATGTTGATAGTGTGTCAAGTGCTGCAAGTGCTGGAATCTGAATTTACCAAATTCTTTCTGATTCAAAAAAAAAAATAAAATAAAACCAGCAAAGAAAATCATCTCAATTTTTATTGTATTTCATTTTTCTCTTAGCGAGTGGTGCCATTCTTCCTCCCGTTGTCCAAATGAGAAATTCTAGGCAGCTTTCCTACTCGAAAAGTCCCCTAAACTCTACCTCTTCCATAACGTCTCTCAAATCTGTCTCCTCAACTTCAGCCCTGTTTGGCTTTTTTTAATTTTATCTCCAGGACCTACAACAATTCCTGGCACCTAGCAGACAGCTCAGTAAATATTTGGCGAGTGCGAGAGCACACACAGAGGACAAACAAAGCACCTGGCTCTGCAGAAACAGTTACCGCGGGCAACACAGGCGAGGAGCTGAAAGACTTAAAAATAAGAATATCTTGGGGGCGGGGGTGGTGCTGTGGTGTAGTGGGTAAAGCCACCACCTGCGATGCCAGCATCCAATATGGGCACCAGTTCATGTCCTGGCTGCTCCATTTCCAGTTCAGCTTCCTGCGAATGATCTGGGAAAGCAGTGGAAGATGGCCCAAGTGCTTGGGCCCCTGCACCCACGTGGGAGACCTGGAAGACGCTCCAGGCTCCTGGCTGCAGATCAGCGCAGCTCCAGCCATTGCAGCCAATTGGGGAGTGAACCATCCAATGGAAAATCTCTCTCTCTCTCTCTGCCTCTCCTCTCTGTGTAACTCTGACTTTCAAATAAATAAATAAATCTTTAAAAAATAAGAAGTTTACCATCCATAAAACCCTGATGGAAACCACAGAAGTATTCTAACTGAACACGGGAGGACCTGAACACTCAGGGTGATGGGGACACATAACGGGAGGGTCAAGAACCACTCAGACCAGGAGAAGCACCTGGCTCCTGCCTTCGGATCAGCGTGGTGCACCAGCTGCGGCGGCCATTGGAGGGTGAACCAATGGCAAAGGAAGACCTTTGTCTCTCTCTCTCACTGTCCACTCTGCCTGTCAAAAAAAGAAAAAGAAAAAAAAAAAGAACCATTCAGAGGTTAAGAGAAATGAGAAGGACTTGAGAGCTGGTGCATGAGCCCTCGCAGGAGTCTGGTTGCAGCCTCGTCTCCTTCTCCAGGGATCTGGTCACAGGACTTGGTTCTAGAGTAATGAACATGTTGCTAGTGCTGTCTGAGTTCTGTCTTCAGGACCCATGTGGAAACTGGCTAAGCCTGGAGGACTTAACTGTGGCAAGGGAAGAATGCCATCTCCACTCACGAAACCACAGGAAACGGTTCCTCCTAGAAAGGGAGAGGTAGAGCGAGTGAAACGCATCAAAGACACGAAGAGCCAGTAGATGTCACCGCTCAGAGCTAATCAACCAGCACAGGGACTTACAGATCTTAAAGTCGTGAGAGAGGCAGCCGAAAGAAGAGCTAACCATGCACAGATAAGACACTGGGCCTGTGCAGGAGAGAGAGGCGCCGAGAGTAATGTGGGTGCTCTGAATCCTCCATCTTTACTGCCGGGGAGCCCATAGTGAAGCTGTTTATAACAATAGCAAGAGAGGACCGGCGCCGCGGCTCACTAGGCTAATCCTCCACCTGCGGTGCTGGCACCCCGGGTTCTAGTCCCGGTCAGGGCACCAGATTCTGTCCCGGTTGCCCCTCTTCCAGTCCAGCTCTCTGCTGTGGCCCGGGAAGGCAGTGGAGGATGGCCCAAGTGCTTGGGCCCTGCAACCTCATGGGAGACCAGGCTCCTGGCTTCGGATCGGCACAGCGCCAGCCATATCGGCCACTTAGGGGGTGAACCAACGGAAAAAGGAAGACCTTTCTCTCTGTCTCTCTCTCTCACTGTCTAACTCTGCCTGTAAAAAAAAAAAAATAAATAAATAAAAATAATAATAGCAAAAGAAAAACTGGAGTGGGGGCAAACACTTCATTTCTAAAAATTGAGAGTTTTCTGTTCATGTATAGTACAAGGTATTTTTTCAAACAGAGGTTTGGTGTAGTGGTTAAAGTGTTGTGTGGGACAGCTTCCTCCTGAATCGGGGAGTGCCTGGGTTCCAGTGTCCTGCTCATGTGCTCCGTGGGAGGCAGCAAATGTTGGATCCAGGAGACTCAGATGGAGTTCCAAGCACCTGGCTTCAGCCAGGCCTAGCACAGGGCACTGCTGGCCACTTGGGTAGTAAATCAGTAGATGGAAGTCCCATCTCTCTCTCTCTCTGTCTTTTCCCCCACCTTCCTCCCTCCCTCTGTCCCTCTGTCATGCTGTCTTTCAGATAAATAAATAAATACATCTTTTGAAAAAGCTGTATTTCAAAAGATGTATTTATTATTTGAGAGGTAGAGTTACAGACAGAGAAAGGGAGATACAGAG